ACACATTCTGGAAAAGCATACCCGTCATCTTCCAGATCTTCCACCTTTTCTTGTTTTTCTTCGTCATCATGTCGTTTCAATCCTCGCTGACGTAATGTTGCTCCTAAATGGCAGCTGGAAGCATGTGGAAAAGTAAATAATCGGAAGTACCTGGGACAGAATTATCTAAAATCACAGCGACGACTCCACCAACAAGCATTTTGATACTCAGAAGCATGTTTATGATCTGGTCCCAGTCAGCATTACCTGTATGAAGCCGTGTTGGTTGAAAGAGAGATACGAAGAATGCACATAACTTTGGCAGATAATGCTCGAATTTGGATTCTGTTGCCGCAAAAATCTTATGCTGCTCCCAGTGAACAAATAAAAGCTCAGGCTGCGTTCAAGTTCAATTTCAACTAGCGTGCGTTTTCAGCTCGTCTTACCCGTTCTGATCGGACTCCTCTCGAGATGAAGCGGAAGCACTAATCCGGTCAGCAGCGATAGTCCCAAGATAGAGAGGTTGCGAGTGAGTTTTAGATCGATAAGCTGAAAAGCAAAACAGAGTATAAACACTAAAAAACAACCATCTACATTGGCGGTGTTTTAAGTTCATCAAGATTGCTTCAACCGAGTTGCGGTGCGAGGATTCATTCGGGCGAAGAGCGGCGAGGGGGTGAGGGAGGGGAAGAATGGAACAGAATTTTTTGAGACCTAATGGCATCAGAACGTCATTGATTTTCAGATATTTTGCCCATGCATGCGAAAAAATTGTGCAGCTGCAACACACTCATCTGCGCATTTTTAAAACTCATATAGGCCACTCTGAAGTTGCGATTAGCCCAAGGCATACTTCACGCGATTTCAGTCGCCACGTGAGCTGGCAATTTGCCAGATGTCTTCTGGTTCAATATTGGCACACCCCAAAGGCTCTGCTTGTATAATTTTCGTAGGTTGATAAAAGCCCTATGCCCTAGGGTAGGGGAACGAACACCTCAACTAGGTACCGCCTCCGCGGACTGCTGCTCCTTTCGCCCTGCTGTTGTACATCATTAGGACCAGTAGTCCGCAGAGG